CAGTTCTTTGACTGGACTCAGGGGGTTGAGGCCGCTGAGCTAGCAATTCTCTCATTTGTTGGATAGCTAACTCCATTTCTGTCTTCACTTCAGCTCTAATTTCTTCACGTTGTTTGGCTAGAGCTTCTTGAAGTATTTGAGCAAATTGATCAGAGGTGATCGTGAGTACTTCTCTGGTTTGTCCCGTGCTAGACATTGTATCATCAGAAGCGATTGCAGAATAAGTGTCCGAGAATTCATCCTCCGAGGACATTCCTTCTTGCATTCTCTTGTAATTTCTGCGTCTGATGGCTCCTAATTGGAGTCGAGACATCCTTTGAGCAATTCTTGGATTGACTCTTCCTCTCGGGGAAAAGTCAGGATTTGAGTCACTTGAATGCCGCTTAGACTTTCTTTTATCAGCCACGTTGATGGTGACTTCAGGGAATTCATCATCTTGGGCAGCTGATTTTCTCTTGCAGAAATGCCTCGGCTTAAGCTTCGACATTTCGGTGAAAAGACTGTGGAATACCGAGACTCTTCGTGGGGTATGGGGTCTTAACGGGCTCCGAATGCTGATTTTGCATAAGTCCAGACTTTGGAATCCAAACTTGACGAAGTTTTGGTGATTCTTTGGTCACCATTTCCTTTCTCTTTTCTCGTCTTTGTTGTGAGAGAGCATGGGCATTAGCAGCTTTTGCACGACGTTTTTGTATACGTTCTTTGAGGGTCGAACGAGTCTTTTTGACAATAGTCCATTCATCCGTCGTTGTTTTAGCAGAGATACGAGTGATTGGTTGTTGAGACAACTGAACCACTCGATGTCTCCTCGACTCTAGGTCCGCGTGGTAACGAACCCCGTCGGTTTGTTCCAAGGCTTTAGCCATTTGGCGAGCACGGCGTTGGCGTTGTCTCTGACGAGCTCTTTTCGTCAATGCCGGCGGGCTTTGATTCGATGACTCTTTAACTAGATAAGAGCCATTGTGAGCAGAGGTATTGCGAGTGAAATTCTCAGCAACAATCAAGCGAGAATCTTCATTTTGTGCCTTCTTTGGCATGTAAGTCTTCCTCAATTGTGAGATCCTCTTGTACTTGCGAGATACTGAAGATCTTGAAGAGGATGATGAGAAATATTCCTCAAACTTGGTTTGGTCGAATTCGTATTCGACCATGGATTCAACTGGAATCTTGATCGGCTGCGACACGACGGTCTCGGCAGCGAGACCGTTGGCTCCCACTGTGGTCGCCAGTTTGTTTTCGCCAAAAGTCGAATTTGTTGTCGAATTCATTATATCTTCGGTCGATTACAATAAATTCAAAGAAAACAGCCTTTTTATAAGACTCTTTTACACAACAAAAAGAAAATTACAACTCTTGAGAAAATAAACGCAGGATCGTTGTTTGGATCACTGCTTTCGTGGGATCTTTGCCTGTGCCGGGAGCGCTTTGACTCGTGGACCACCAAGTCACAGATTCTGATTGAACCGTGAGGGGTTTATGATTCTGACTTCGTTTATCGAAGTGAGAAATTGAAACGATATCTTATCGATGTAAGATAGTCGTTCTTCTTGAAATCAAGTCAAAGCTCAATTTCAAGGATTGGCCGTAAGATCAGCACCTCTGCTCTCTCTCTGCTCTGGATTGCTCTGGATTGCTCTGAAGTACTCACAATGATCAGCCCCCTGGGAAAAATGGCCTTAGGAGGGTATTTATAACCTCCAAGAACAGTTGGCAGAAAACAGGTTCGCGAGACAGCTTTTGCTGTCTCGACGGGCGAGACAGCGGACGTGTTTGCCTGTCTCGCCAGCGCAGACAGTAAACAAACTGGTCTCGGCGCGAGACAGTAAACACTGTCTCGCGGAACAGTCAACCGGCAGGAGTTTTCCATCTTAACTGTCTCGCCAAACGGTTTCAAACATCCGTTATTTTGGCAGTTTATGCCACGTGATATACTCGCCCACCAGAGGTGGAAAACCATCGCAAGTTTAGACGTGTTTCCACGTTCTTGAAGGCAGTTAGTGGCGCACGTGTAGGGCAGTTGTACAATGGTATTTTGACCATGTATGAAAGCTGGTCTCACGTGCCGAGAACAGTACAAGTTACTTGTCTACGCACTGGGCGAGAAACAGTGAACAAGTCCTGATGCATCGCGGGGCGCAGACGAGCAAAGACTGATCCCTCCGCGTGGGCGAGACAGGTAACAAGTCTGTTCTATCGCCCGCGGAGCACAGTAAAAGACTGTCTCGAGCGAGCGAGACAGTAAAAAGACTAGTCTCGCACGGCGAGACAGTCAAGTCTGTCTCGCGTGCGAGACAGTAAAGACTTGTGCCTTTTTGGATGATTTCCTCTTGAGCTGTATTTGGATATCTTTCAGCATTTTTTGACGCCTACAGGGGTGGGAAGAATACTTGTAAGGAAATTGGGGGTTAGAAGCAATTTCCCCTAAATTTTAACATGTTGATCACATACATAATGATGAATTTTACATCTAAGTTAACTATCTACAAATTAGGTTGAAAAAGTATCTATGTGTTATTGATAGGGAATATTTTTCTTAACCCTATAAAACATAGAGGGATTTTTCAATCCAATATTAAATTGTATTGTGATATAATAGATATTAGCATAAAATAACATAAAGAGATTACTAGTTTTATCATAAAGATGTTTTGCTTAAAATGATTATCCTTCACTAGCATTTGCTTCTAGTTTAAAACATGTAAAAGTTTTCCGTCTCTAATTATTTTCTCATCAATTATTATGAATCCGTACTTATATCTTCCTTTCTTCTGTGATTTTGCTATGTTATGTTAAGAATGTTGCAAATAGTAACACTATATAAATTGTCCTACTATCATATAGATCTTGAGATCCCTTTGATTTTCATACAACAACTTCATGAAAATTTTCAACTTTCCTTGAATAGCAAAGAGATTACTTTATTAACGAACAACTATAATACTTCTTTAAAAAATATACAAATTAAAAATCATGACTATTTTGAAAACATTAGAAAACTACTAGTACCAAAAGCATGTTTTTTAAATGGTTGATACCCCCACAAATTGATGAACATCGAGATAACCATAACTTTGTCGCGTCGGATTTACTTCTTGAAGCCACATAATTCAATCCAAGAAGCTAGTTCTTAGACCTCAGGCTCTTATAGGAGGAGTAAAGCATATTTGAGAAGTGATCAAAATGCTAAGGTACCCTAACTAGTTTTTTGGTGGCTCGTAAGGCACAATATTTGACCGAGTAAAAGACCAATATGCCCCTCACAATTTCAAAAAAATTCAAGCTTTATTTATCTTTTTTCAATCTAATTTAATATTTTTTATCATTTTGACAACAAGAACGGATTATAATTTATAAGCCCACTATTCACTAAGGCCTCGTTTAGCAAAGAGTTAAGGAAAATGAGTTAAAGAGAAGGATTAATGTACTTAGCCCATTGTTTGGTGGAAATTTTGCAATAAGAAAATGAAAGAATTCTATTTGATTTTTATTCTCTCAATCTCGATTATAATTTGAGTTCCCGATTACAAAAGAGAAAAGAATTAATGCCAATCCTCCCATTTGTTTAAAACTGGATTCTTCACGGTGGCGATAAGATGCCTCACTCGAATGCTCGCGTCGAGTTTGCTTCTCGTTGACGATCCGAACGTCTTGTTTCACTGGAATGTGGTCTTCTCCTCACGATTTGACGCTATGGAGAACTTGTATGTCAAGGTTTAAAGAACTCTTGATGAGTTGATAAGCCAAGGATGAAGAAAGCTTCTGTTTCCGATCTCCAAAGCTCCAGCAATTCCTCCAAAAAGCCAGCCGAAGATCTCTTCTTTTCTGCCAAAACCCAAGAAGCCCCGAACTCAGTTGAGTTTACTCCTATTTATTAGGGATTAAGGGGTATAACCAACCCTTTAATTCGCTCCTTAGTGGGGTTGAATGGGGGGTAACCGCCCCCTTAAACTGTTCCCTAAATTATGGGGAAAACAGTTTTGAAACCATTCAGTTCGTGCTTTGAATGAGTCAAATGCCAGTCTGGGCGTTCTGGGTCCGAACTCTGCGTTTTAGACTTAAAACGTAGAGTTGGGCCTATTTTTGGCTAAAAACGCCATGTTCGCACAGCGTTATAAATCTGAAACGCAGAGTTTGGTCGCAGAGATGAACTCCACGTTTTGAGTCCATGAACTCTGCGTTTTTAATTGGAGCGCTGGGGATGACCTCTGCGTTTTGACTCTGAAACGCGGGCATGACCTCTGCGTTTTGATGTTGTAATACATGGATGACCTCTGTGTTTTGAGGTTGTAACGCAGGGAGGACCTCTGCGTTTAGAGGTTGTAACGTAGGGAAGACCTCTGCGTTTTGAGTCTGAGATGCAGAGGCGAGCTCTGCGTCTTGATTTGAAGAGACCGTCAATTTGTAGTCTCTTTTGCTAGAGCGTTGCAAAGACCGTCATCTTATAATCTTTGTCTTGGCTCCTTGAAGATATGAAAGCCGTCAAATTGTAACTTCCATCGTCGGTGTTTGATGTGGATTAGCTATATGCAGTTATTTTTAAACAAACTACACCCATTCGATAATCTGAATGACTAAATTATTAACCCGTTAAATAAGTTTTATTTTAGTCATTGTGATCAGTTTTAGTGTTTGGGAATAACAATAATTTTAACTATTTTCTTTATAATTAGAAGGGTTAACTTTTAATCCTTCTAAATAGGAGTATTAGTAAACCCCTCATTTTGAGGGGTTAACTCATTTTAATCCCTCTAAAAGGGTTAGCTTAACCATTCTATATTTTTTATGTTTGGCGAATTACGGAGGGTTAACTCACTTTAACCATTGTATAGATTTTTTGTGTTTGGCGGGTTAAGAATGAGTTAAATCTCAGCAACCCATCACTTAACCCTTTGCCAAATGGTACAAATAAATGCTCTAATGCTAGAACAAAACTAATAACTCCGCCCGTGGTATTCTCGTAATTATGAGGAAGATCAAGGGTATGTTAAAACCAATACCAACATAGAAAGCCATTCCCGCAAAAACTTAGCTAGGGTTTTGGCGTGCGTCCTCTCTTATAACCAGCCGCCAATCCCAAAGGGGCGAACGAAGGAGAACACGAATCCAAAATGGTAGACCCTAAAACCTCAATCTCTTAAAGACCCTAATGCTAAAGATCCAATCTTTATCTCTAATCTCATGATTTTGTTCTGTTAGGGCAAAGGAACAGGAAGCTTTGGTAAGAGAAGGAACAAGACTCATACGCTCTGCGTCCGCTGCGGTCGCCGAAGCTTTCACCTTCAAAAGAGCCGATGTGGATCTTGCGGTTTCCCTGCTGCCCGAATCCGCAAGTGTGAGTTCGTCCGAATCCGATCTCGTTCTTGCGGTTTCTGTTGTTGTAGTTTTCTATTTAGACAATAAACTTGATAGATCTGAGAAAAAGCTTCCTTTTTTTTAAATTTTATTCTAGGGTTTGGTTTTTTATGTCTATGTTTCTTAACTCAACTAGTTGATGCATAAAAATGGGTAGATTGCAGATAAATCCCCTGATATATATCTTCAAAAAAATTATTAGATAGGCGGTGGCTGTCTGCAATTTATTCTTCAAAAAATACCATAAGTGCTAATAGACTAGGCGAGGGGTTATAAGTGCTACTTAAGGCATAATTGAGGGGTTATCTGCAATTTAATTTAAATGGTAAGGGAAGGGGCACAGGAATTAATTGTGTCCGGATAAACAAGAATGGGAAACGAGGGTACACTACGATCTTTTTTAATTGTGTCCGGATAAACAAGAATTGGAAAGGGCAGTGAAATGCTACATCCAACTATTCTTTATTTTTCTAAGGACAATGTTGGAATATTGAGAAAGTTTCACCTTCCTTCCTAATCCATCCACTTCAGGAGGGTTAGAAAAGTGAGAGAATTTGCTTATTTTTAGCCCTCCCCACTGTTCCCCTTACTAATTAAAAATTGTAAGGCTATAAGACCAATTTGGTTCCTCTACTGTGGCCATGTACTCTAATTGATCCCCGACTTTATTTTTTCTCAACTTAGTCCCCATACCCCTTGCTAGATGTAAATTTAGTCCTATTTTAACCCTCCATTAAAAATTTCATTAAGTGAAAAATGACATGGTAGTACTATATCTAATTTGTTTCCTATAAAGACAATTGCTCTTTAATCATTTCTTGTTAAGGCAACATTGTGTTAAAAGAGAGAAAGCAATAAAAAACCCACCCTGACTTATAAATGAAAAAAAACCTTATCCTGTATTGAATCACACACACACACACACACACACCAATGATCCTCTTTGCGATCTCCTCCGACAATCGCTTCCGGTGAAGATTCTTTGCCTATCCTCCTCTATCTCTCGTATGTTGCAGAAACATCTCCTCCGACAATCGCTTCCGGTGAAGATTCTTTGCCTATCCTCCTCTATCTCTCGTATGTTGCAGAAACATCTCCTCCGACAATCGCTTCCGGTGAAGATTCTTTCTCGTATGTTGCAGAAACATCTAGTAACAGGATAATGAGGAAGATTTGATGATTTGTTTTGGGTTTATGGACATTTAGTTTTAGTTTAAGTGTTTAATCTAATGACTTGTTTCAGTACCTAGTTACTTTTGATATATGGATTTTAATGTTTAGATGGTTTAACTCATTATTATCTAGTTACTTTTGATTTATGAATAAAATTTTTAAGTAGTTGACTAGTTATTGGTTGTTAAATTGCATGTTTTTTGGTCTTTTTAGTGTATGTTCTTAATTCATGAATTTTATACATTTTAACATACAATAAGTAATAAATACACATTAAAAAAATTGAAAATGTATAATTCTGCGCAATTCGATTAATCAACATATAATTTAATTAATCATTAATAGAATCACGTTTTTGAACATTTGAAAATTATTGTTTGATTGATTTCTAGGCAAACTCGTTGTGATATTTTTTTTTTAATTTGAAAAAGAAAAACTATTAATCTGGTGTACAAATGTTATGCTATGCTTGTTTCTTTTCAAGTTCAATCTTAAGTAGTAGTTGCTACATAAGTCTGAACCCCCAATTCGTATAGGCTGGAAAGTGAACTCATTTGTTTTCGTTGTCATAGGTGCAAATTGTTAATAAGCTTCTTGAAGAAGATTGAGTCCTTCAATCATGAACGGATCTAGAAATTTTTTCTTATGCAGGGCACTTATACAATTATAAGTATGAATTACTGACTTATATGATATACACTTTATCAATAGAAAAACCTATTTATTCACTAATTATCAGATCTCAATGCATAATACTTTTCATTATCATTTTTATCACAAAAAACTAACCGAATACTACTAACTTCCAACTATAGTCTTTCAAATTGCTCTCTATATGGGGGCACCAAGCAATTAGTTTATGTGGTGACCGCTTAAAATGTAAAATAAAGCCTAAACTTTTTTGTAAAAGTTAATTTGGGGGGGGGGGTGTATCCCCATAACCCCCTATTTACATCTGTACCTGGCTCCAATTAACTAAGATCCTAAATATCAGTTCTTCAAGGGTCAAGGTTGTGTCAAAAATTAGGTCCCCTTTGATGTCTAAACGCTAACTTGGGTACTCTTTTCCTGGGACATTAGGCATGTTTGACAATTCTAGATTATAATCCACTATGGTAATAATCCATTTGTAGATTGTAATCTAAGTGGATTACATTTTAGGTCTTTACTGAAGAGAAGGATGCTTAAATAAAGAAAGGGACAAGTAAAAGACCGTATCATGTGAGATCAGGATGGTTTTGTAGGTTAAATAAAGAAAGGGACAAATAAAAATACAGGATGAACAACTCGTGGCCCTTTGGTTACCAAGAAAAGAAGACAAATGCGACTCAGAGTTAAAAAGAAAGCCGAGGCTCTGCACTCGTCGCATCACTGGTTTCTTATGTGAAGAAAAGGGCAATGGTAACCAAACACTAAACCAACCACCAACTTCCTCCTACCTTCACTCCACCTAACAAAAGCTCTTAATATAATATGGGACCTTTTTTATTCACAGCCCAAATTTTATTCCAAGTTTCTTTTAGAACACTTTGAAAATTTATAGTTGTAACATCTTAAAACTAAATATACCTATTAATACACCAAAAATAACAATTTATATCCAACTATAGTTATAAATCAAATACAATAACCTTATGACAACAGAAACAGAAACAAAGTTAAAAAAAAGAGTATTGTTGAGGGTTACCCGGAATCCTCCTTAGTATGAAGTGTAGTCAGGAACTGCTAATAGACACTGAATATCTTGTGTACCCCGTACATTAAAGCAGAGTTTGGATTGAGAGAGGGAATGAGATCTTTCATCTATGTAACCGGTACTCTCATCTAACTAATGAAATATTTATTTGTTACTGGTATCAGTGTTGTAGATAGCGGCAAAGACGTGTGGCCGCCTTGCTATGGTAAAAATGGCGATTTTTAGTGGCATCTGCGTTATCAGCTCGAAATAGTGGCCAACAGCACGGAAAAGCGCTTTACGACGCTTTAAAATACAAATTATTGGGCTTGCAGCGGAACCCAAATTCTTAAGCAAATGAGTTTCTTTGTACCCGACCCCAATTCGACTTGTTTTTAACTTAAAACACATTTTTTTCTTAATCCCCTCTTTCTGCTGTTCAAACCTAAAAAAACCCTAACCCTAAATCGCTGCCACTGCCTCTTGTCGTCGTAGCTCCACCCCCATTGTTCTTTATTGAAGCTTTCCGGTGTTCTTAGTTCCTCGTGACGCTCCTTTGTCTTCCCCTAACTCCGCCTACACCTCTCTTCAAAGCACCACTGCCTCCTCGAAGCTTCTCCTCTTCATTCTGTACAATACTTGGTTAATATTGTGTGATTACTACAGGTCTATTTCATGCTTAAGATCTCTATAAATCATCAAATGTGCATTTGTAGAATTTTTAGATTTTTTTAATTTTTTCTTATATTTGAATATTTATACATACTTAAACTAAACTACCTTTTGATTTTGCGCTTTTTGCAGCTTTTTGCTACTTAAGCCCTAAATAGCCTTGAAGTGTTTAATCGCTTTGCTCAGCTTTCCGCTTTCCATAACCTTGTAGTTGATGTAGGACTTGCTTCGATGCGTATAAAGTTTGTGTGTTTGTAATTGTCAATTCTTTTAGGCTATGTTTGAAAACTTGGATATGCGTTTGGATTTCAAATACAGGGTAGCTCAAATCCAGATCTGTTGGTTGGATCTCAATTTTGACTTGAATTTTAAATCAGATGATTTTGTGGAGTTGGATTTTAAAGCCTAATATTGTGGACTTCAAATCTTGCCCAACACCTATGATTCATGGAAATCCCAATCACCTTAAGCTTCCTCTCATTAATCTCCATCTCCCCAAAACTCTCTACACCTATGATTCATGGAAATCCCAATCACCTTAGGCTTCCTTTCATTAATCTCCATCTCCCCAAAACTCTCTCTCTCTCTCTAAAATCTAGGTGGGCATCCTAAATATCGCTTAGACGCTAGTTAGGCGGCCTAGGTACCACCTAGGCCTAAGCGTACGCCTAAGCGGACTAGGCAAAGGTTTTTTAAAACAGTGTAGATTTGAAATCCAAATTCCATTACCCAAACGCACCCTTGTTATTTGCATAATTGTGTAAGATCTTGATTTCTGTAGCTTTTCGAGCGATACGATACATATGCAACAAGTATTTTGGTTTATTAAAGGTTTTGAAGGTGTGTGGGCTTCATAATCAGGGGAAAACCCTTGGTTTAGAAATAGAAATCTCTTTATTCATTTATTTTTCTAATGTAGCCTCACCTTTATTTTTGTTTAACTTAGAGTCAAATTCATTCGATGTTAGCCCTAATAAGTTACGGTGCTTTTCGTTGACTGGATCTTTGGGTGGTAGCTTCTTCCTCTTAACAAAAATTAAATAGATATAAAATATTTTATTTATTTATTAATTCATGCCCATTTAGAGTTAACATTTCCTAAGGATAGTAAAAGGAATACTTGGGAAGTTTGGTTTTTAATTATTTTTTCTCGAAACATATTACTGCTTGACTATATTTTAATTTTATTAGGATGTGCATCTTTGTAATATAAGTTACAATTTTGTTTACACTAAATTAAATTATTTTTCCTACACCTTTCTATTGGAGATAGCTTTTGAATTTTTGATAAAAGAAGTGAATGTTTAATGTTTCCATCCAAGTAAACTTTTCAAAAATATATACATCATCACAATAGAAAATTTTAAGCGGGAAGAGTGTAGCTTTTTCCAAATTGCTTCATAGGATAATATTTCAAATATTGATTGTCTAGTATAGAGCTTCAGGGTGTATTCATATTAATTCCTTGAGGGTTTTCATTCTCTACCTGCACCTTTAACATGTTCCATTTTGGGCATTTATGTTGAATCACAAAGGTAATATGGATTAGAGGCTTAGCTGAATTTGCATGTTAAGTAGCTACATAAACATGTATCAACTACATAATCAATAATTTTAAATAAATTTCTAACTATTTAAGACCAGTTTTCATATTTTGGAGAAGTACACAATCACACCAGTAGTAACGTAACTAACGTTATCAGATAATCTAGGTTAGGTGATAATTAATAAGTAAATAATTCATGTGTAATAAAATATAAATCTAGAATTTAAAATTAAAAGCAATATAGTTACTTTCCTAGAATTCTAAACAAACCCTAGACAATAATCACAATCGTGAGGGAGGGAGGGAGGGAGTCTAAAATTTCAATTCTCTTCTAACTGAAATTTTATTTGGAGTTAGGGTGGAATTCGGGTGTGGGTCTGTGAGACTACCAGTAGAATCACCAAGTTTGCCTGAGGGAGGGAGTGAGGGAGGGACCCTTAAATTTCAGTTCTCTTCTAACTGAAGTTTTATTTGGAGTTAGGTGGGAATTTGGGTGTGGGTCTGTGAGACTATCAGTGGAATCACCAAATTTGCCTGAGGTTCTTTAATTGGGTGGGTTTTTAAGTAGGTTCAAGTCTTGGAGCAAAGTGATGTCACGTGACACCACTTTGTCTTAGGTAGATTTGCCCAATGTTGTAAGGTAGTACATTTCTTTTTTTCATCTCACTTATGAGTAGTGCAAATTATCATAGAATATTGGGTTGTTGTGGTCCATGTGCATAACCCTCGGCCATTAGTCTATTGTGTTTGTTCCTCAAATCTATTCTGGTAATTCTCGGTGATAAGACATTGTCTTTAGTGAAGAGCAAGGGCAGATCTACCTAAGGCAAAGTGGCGTCACATGACACCATTTTGCTCTAAGACCTTACCCCACTTAAAAATCCACGCCATTAAACAACCTTAGGCAAACTTATATTCAGCATATCTGTTAGATGTTGCTTATTATCAGTTTTCTATTATGTTTGATGTATTACTATGAATACGGCTCATGTATCCATGTTGTTCAGCATATGTACCCTTTTCCTCTTGGCGTAATAGTATATTCAAATGATGTTGGTTTGATTATGGAACATGCTTCTTGTCTCTATTAATATTTTGGAACAGATAACTGGAGCATGAAGGCTATTAGGAGGAAAACAACAGGCACCGGAAGGATGAGGTATCTTCGTCATTTGCCTCGAAGGTTCAAGAGCAATTTCAGAGAAGGTACTTTATTCTGTTTCTGTAGAGCATCCTCTGTGTTAATGCGCGTTCCCTGTTTAGCATATATATAATCAAAAAATAGTTTATTAATTGCTTGTTTAACTGTTCAGTTATATTTGATTTAGTAGTTCATTGAAACAAACAGATAGCTTTTAGAATTCCGCTCATAAACAAATAGAATTTTAATTTAACCATGCAAATCTGACTGCAGTTGATTGTGCAGCAGTTACAATTGCAGTTGCCTGCAATTGGCATTTGCATATCAATTAGAGTTGTAACTAACCGAATGCCTGTGATCTTGTGAAACATGAGTTAGTCCAAATAAATTTTTTTATGCTTCAGGTTCACATTTAATTCTACTTTTTTCAATGCAGGAACCCAAGCTACTCCAAAGCAGAAGACCACTGCTGCTGCTGCTGCTTTTTAGTGTGGGGGTAGAGACTCTTATCCTTGTTGTGTCTGTTGCAAGCTGCAATCCCTTACCTGTGATTTATCTTGAAATTTTGTTTCGTTAAGACTCATTGCTGTTTATTACTTGAAGTTACAACATATGTACTCAGATGCTGAAGTTTTGAGATTTCAACCACCTTTGCATTCAGTTATTAATTATTCAGGTATAGCCTAGTTTGCATAATTTGAAGTCATGAAGCCGTCTGGTAAAGTTAGAAATTTCTAGTTGTTATTTTCACCCTCAGCGAGTATTTGATGACAACTAAAAATGAATTCAGTAATAAGTTCACAGTTCTAGCCTTTTTTCCCCTCTTCGTTATTTTTGGTTTCTTTTCTTAGAACTTGAACTCTGGAAAATGATCCATGGGAAATGGGGTTATCGGACTCATTTTTCTGTTGCCGAGCCCATTTCCGGCTCATTTATTCGGAATTGATTTTCCTTATTTTCGGGGTCGCATCTCAAGATGGTTTATCTCACGTGCGTAATTTTCATTTCCTTTTCTTCCTCAGCCAAACGAAAGAACGGAAATATATATAGGAAATCAATTTCCTACAATAAGTTTTTTTGGTTTCCTGATTAGGGCGGCCTGTTTGGTTATTTCTTAAAAACCTAAGAAATAGAAATGAAAACCAAGAAAGCTCAAAAAGTAAAATTTTATCCATTTCCATCCCTAAAACTCACACATAACATCTAATAAAATATTATTTTATCCAACAACTCATCCATCATATCTAATAAAATATTATTTTCATCCAACAACTTATCCACTACATCCACCCGATCTAATAAAATATTATTTTCATCCAACAACTCATCCATCATATCTAATAAATTATTATTTTTATCCACAACATTACTCAACTCATCTCATCTTATCATTTCAAATCACTCACATCATCCAATAAGATGGTGACAACTCATCTCATTTCATTAACATTTCATTTTCACACATTTCCTCCAAAAAAGTTAGGAAAACAATTTCCTTAAGTGTGGGTCACATCATTCAATAATATAATGACAACCTATCTCATCTATTTTCTTATTTTCAAGAATGGACCAAACAAAATAAAACAACCTATTACAAGAAATATGTTTCTTATAATTCATTTCCTTATTTTTTTTCGCCAACCAAACAACATCAAAACAAGTTTTCTTAAAAAATCACTCATATCATCTTGATTTCCTTCTTTTTTTAGCAAACCAAACACTCCTAAAACAATTCTTCTTAGAAATAATTTTCCATTTCTTTGATTTTCCAATTTTTTTAGACAAACAAACAGACCCTAAACAAAACAAGTTAGAATCCCAGAATGATTGAATATGGGTACGTGCACGTATACACAATATACACAAAACACGTATGCTGCTATTTTTTAGAGTTTTGAGTTGGATTGATCAATCCATGAAAAGAAATAAAATTGAAAGTTACCTAACTCCAAGTTAAACTCGTCCCCCCCATTCAACCCTGCTCACCTGGATTTCAATGGTAGACTTTTTGATTATGCTGTCATTTTCACTCGCTTTCTTAATCCTCTGAAACTGGAAGTTTCTTCCTTGCCATGAAATAATATTTCTTGACTATAACCAAGTTATCAAGCTTTTTTCTTTGTATTAGGACTCACATTTTTTTTTTAATTTTTTTAATTTTTTTTTGCGGTGGCGCATCACATCAAAGACGAGACACAGCAGCGAAATTGTGGTAGATTGGAGCTGTTGCGGTAAGAAAATTCAAATCCTAGGTTACTTGCATATTTGTTCAGTTAAACCCCCTCCTTCCGATACGAACGCATCATTCTAGAAACATTTCCGAGTTCTCGCTTATTTATTTAGCCTCGGCAAATTGTGTCGCTCTGGATTTGTTTGTTGTTACTTGAACGTTTGGTAACTGTGACGTTTTTGTCGTTTTTGTTTTTTTTTCAACAAAAACAAAGAAACGCGTTTGGCAATCATGGCGTTTTTTTGACTTGTCCCTTTACAAAATCTAAAAATTAAACACTTTTCTCAAAACACCAAAAATATGTTTTGAGATTCTGTTTTTTCATCGAAGCCACCGCCGCCGCCGACCCCGCCTCGACGATCGGCCGTCGCTCCTGCCCGTCGCCTGCTGGCTGCCATACACCGCCCCCGCCACCGCCGCCCGTTGTCCCCATCCGTCGCCGGCCAGTCGCCACCGGGGCGCCGCGCCGTCGTCAGCGGTCCGCCGGCGCCGTCACCAGGTGCCCGCCCGTCGGCGATCACATGTCGCGTCACCACACGTCGTCGTCTGCCTACTCCTACCGCGACAGACAACTGCCGGCCACGCCTCCAGCCGCTTCACGCGTCACCGTCGCCTCCGCCGCCGGCTAAACCGTCGTCGGCCAAGTCGCGGCGCAGCCCGCGGCCAACCCACTGGCCCGTCGTTGCCTCCTGCCGCCACACCATCCGCCACCGCGTCGGCCACCCTCGCACCGCGGCCGGGCGGGCTTTTTGGACAACGCCCTAGGCCAGGCTTTGTGACTGGCGACTACATATGAAAGTATGGAGGCTTAGTATCAGAAAGCCACCCCTTAACTTTGGACGGTTTTGAGAAAGCCCCCCGTAACTATAAAAATATCAGGAAACCCCGTTTAAGTTAAGGTGTTGTCAAAAAAACCCCTCTAACTTCCATGTCCTACCTCCCCCCAACCCCGCTAAAAATTTAAAGATAATGAGAGAGAACGCTGTTAAGGGGGTCTTATGATAAAACATTAAAGTTAAAGGGGGTTTCTGATAACCCCTAAGCATAAGGGGTTTTTTCTGTTATTTTGGAAGTTAAAGGGTGGTTTTCTAATAACCGTCCAAAGTTAGGGTTTTTTTTCCTGATATTAAGCCTATTGTAGGCCACCTGCAGTCGTTTGTTTCACTGCGATTGTTGCATGCAGATGCAATTGTAGTTAAATCGATCTGTAGTTGAAGAAGGGCCCTCCAACTGCAAAATTGAAAACCTACCCAGATTTGGACAGAAGTTACAATCAGCAACCTTTTTTGAGCCGCAAACGAAGGGCTAAGTCCCAACTTTAATTTATTAACCTCAACGTATGGTAAATGACACCCAAATCAAACGCTAGTATTAGCAAGCGCAGTTGCAAATTGTAAAATGTTACAATAGCTAACCATGTAACTCCAATAACCAACATACACAAGTAGAAAAACAACCAATCTAGACGGAAAAAATTTCGGTCTAGGTTATATCAAACTAGACGGAAAATTTCTGTCTAGTTTGATCCGTCTAGATTGGATCAAACTAGACGGAAAATACCGTCTAGTTTGATAAACTAGACGGAATCGCAACCTAGACGGAAATTTCCGTCTAGATTGCTTGTTTTTCTACTAGTGATATACAATAGTATATACATTTGCATGCAGTTACGCCAATTCCACTGTCTTGCCAAAGTTTTTTTTTTGGGGGGGGAAAGAAGAAAGCCATTATTCTTTTCGATAAGAATTGGGTGATGGATAATCAATTTCTGGCTACATTCGATAGCTATTCAGTTCTAATTTCTTGGTTCTCTTAATACTTACAAATCAAGCGCCTCAACCAAATCGAAAGATACGAGACTCGTATGCCAATCCTCTCCGGCATTGAGATAATGAACAGCGGAAACTGTCGACGAGGTGGGCCCCACACAAATTAATGTTAATTTGAGCTGTACCTTTCATTGCAGCTAAATGTCACACCCTTGAATGGACAGTAGTTTGAATATGATCACTTCACGCCACTTATTACAAGAAATAGCAGCTACCTGACTTGTGGGATTAAACTTTCCGCACATTAATCAAGGGCGAGATTTTGGGTTTGTCCAAAGAAAGATGAACAAGTACATCCATCAACATCTCTGTTGTCTAAAGATGTCATGCATGCAACTCATCTAATCATTTACTTATACAAAGTTCTGATAGCGGTTGAAGCATCACATTCGTTCACTAGTTTATCTAAAATTACATCACATGCATTGAGGATCTGAACATGAAGAGAGTAAGAACCAAGACGAATCATAGCTAGAAATAATAAGATTTATGATTTCATACAGCTAGTGTGCACCCGGCAAAATACGGTCTCCATTTTTTTTATTTTCGCTACGGTTTTTGTATGTGGTACAGTAACATTTTTTAATACTACAGTATCCTGTCTGAACTACAGTAATAATCCTATAGTGATCGATGTTTTAAAACGCTATAGTTCCCGCATGTGCTACAGTATTTTTGATGCGCGAATAGTGAATCTTGGTTCTCCTATTTACATTACATTATAGAAATAAAACTACAGTAATTTACTGTAGCATAAAATAGTAAATCTTGGATCCTTGCATTATTATAGAGGAATAGATGACAATAATAAATACTTTCACAGCCAATCAAGAGTCAGCATTTTGGTTTAGGACGTAGAAAGGAGGAAGTTTACTTTCTTTGTTTGTTTAGTCCGTAAAATCTTTTTCACTATATAATACAGGCAATAACAGCTAGTTGTTTGTCCTTAACATTTTTTTTATCTCTCCTTGAAGATAAATTAATGAAAAGTCGGCTATTATAAGTTATCGATGAGGTCAAAATTCTGAGCTTGTCCAAAGATATCTTTTTTAATGAAGATATCATGCAAAGATGTCATGTTCTTTAAAGTTTAAACCCTATTAATGGTTTGAAGTATGACGTTCATACACTGATCTCAAATTACATTGGGTGGAATTGCTAGATCAATCAAAATAGTCAAATGAGGCTACCAAGGTCCTTTGGTAAATTGATAAAATTGAAGTTTCACTCAATTTCAAAATATTAGAAAATTGGGAATGTGCTATATCCCCTGCCGTAAAAAGATTGATAGATGATGCTATATTTAGTATTTACTATGGAAACTTCTCGTCTTGCAACAAATTGACCTTGTTGTCCAGCAATAGAGTGGACCTCCTAAAGTCAAATCATTCAATGAATCATTCCAACATTTTTAGCTCCACTTGAACTCTAAAAGACATGCATAATTTAGATAATACAAGATGACGACACATAAAAATAATTGAGATCAGACTACCCCTAAAAATGCCAACTTACACCGTTTTCCTCCATCTTATTATCCCCATCTCAATAAATTGCCATTTTGTCACTACAAGTCAAATGTACAGGGTAAAAATATGATTAAATTTCTGAAAACCCCGCAAATTTTGAGCTCTTTAGACAAAGTCCCGTAAACTTTATAAGTCAGGAAAAGAAAAACCTACCATAACTTTTAAAGTTTTACTAAATCTCCTTGGTCGGTTTCCTAAAAACCAAGAAAAGGAAATCGGTACAAGGAAACCGATAAAATAATATTTTTATCCATTTTCATCCCTAAAACTCATCCACAACATCCAATAAAATAATATTTTTATCCTCCAACTCATCTCATTTCTTACCTTTAAAAATAAACCAAACAAAAGAAATGTGTCACATCATCCAACTCATCACATCTTATCTTATCTTATTTTTTAAATCATACACATCATCCAATAATATTGTGACAACTCATCTCATCTCATTAAAGTTTCCTTTCCATCCATTTCCTCAAAAAAAAAAGAAAAAAGAAAAAAAGAAATTGATTTCATTAAGTATGTGTCACATCATTCAATAATATACCTCCAACTCATCTCATCTCATCTATTTTTTTATTTTTAAAAATGAACCAAACACAAACAACCTCAAAACATCATTCAATAATATACCTTCAATTCATTTCCTTATTTTTTTAACCAACCAAACAATCTCAAAACAAGTTTTTTTTTTAAAAAAATCACTCACATCATCCAATAATAAGGTGGTAACTCATCTCATCTCATCTCCTATTCTATAGTTTTCTTCTTTTTTAAGGGGCTGTTTGGTTGGTTTCCTAAAAACCAAGAAAAGGAAATCGGTACAAGGAAATCAATAAAATAATATTTTTATCCATTTCCATCCCTAAAACTCACCCACAACATCTAATAAAATATTATTTTTATCCTCCAACTCATCTCATTTCATCTATTTTCTTATTTTTAAAAACGAACCAAACACAAACAACCTCAAAATATCATCCAATAATATACCTCCAATTCATTTCCTTATTTTTTTAACCAACCAAACAACCTCAAAACAAGTTTTTTTAAAAAACCACTCACATCATCCAATAATAAGGTGACAACTCATCTCATCTCATCTCCTATTCTATAATTTCCTTCTTTTTTAAGCCAACCAAACAACTTCAAAACCATTATAATAGGAAATAGGTTTCCTATTTTTTGATTTCCAGGTTTTTTTGGCCAAACGAACAGCCCCTAAGTCAACCAAACAACCTCAAAACAATTATTATAGGAAATAGGTTTCCTATTCTTTGATTTCCCAATTTTTTTTTGCGAAACGAACAGCCCCTAAATCTCCTTGTACTATTGAAAAACTTTCATAGATGATGTAAACGTATAGAGAAAAAAGGTCTAAAAATATGATATGATTGTCGTCTTGGTCCCCCACATGAATATTCTTCACGGGAGCTTTCTATCACAAATTAATTAATTTTGATTTTTTTACAATCCGAACTAGTTATTCTATCGTTCACGAGATTTTCCATTAGTTCAAAAAGCTTTGGATAGTTTACGATTTATACAGTTCAGAGGGGGTTTGTGTGAAACTTTAAAAATTCAGGGATTTTTATGAAATTTACCCTAAAAAGTTTGCTATATATACGTTTAAAGAGGTGATTTAACTCCCACAAAAAGCAATGGCAATACGAAACCTCTTCCTCTCTTATCCAGAGCTCTGTTTAGCAATTTCATGCTTCTTCTTAGTTTTCTTCTACTACAAAACCACCAAAAAATCCCAACTTCCAACCAACTGGCCGGTCGTCGGGATGCTCCCGGCCATCATCGCAAACATCGGCCACCTACACGAGTGGGTGACCGAGGCACTCAAAGAGGCCGGGTGCACCTTCAAGTTCCACGGACCCTGGTTCCTTAACATGGACTTCTTGGTCACTTGTGACCCGGCCAACGTCAACCACATCTTCAATGTCAACTTCTCCAATTACCCGAAAGGCGACGAGTTCATCGAGATCTTCGACATCCTCGGTGATGGCATCTTCAATGCTGACTATGACTCGTGGAAGATCCAACGGAAGAGAGCTCATGGTGCAATGAGTAGTAACAATTTTCGGGGTTTCGTCGCAAAGTGTAGTGAAGATAAGGTGGCTAACGCACTTTTTCCCCTCATGCACAAAATGGCTAAGGAAGGGTGTCCTGTTGATTTGCAAGATGTGTTTCTTAGGCTAACTTTCGACTTGACTTCTAAGTTGGTGTTTGGAGTCGATCCCGGTTGCTTATCCGAGGGATTCCCGACGATTCCATTTGCGAGGGCGATGGACGATGCGATGGAGGCCTTGTTCTTCCGACATATTGTGCCTCCGCCGTGGTGGAAGCTAATGAGATGGCTAAATATAGGCAAGGAGAGGAAATTGCACGATGCTTGGGGCGTTATCGATGATTTCGTCGCTCAGAACATCGAGAAGAAGAAAGAGGGGAAAATCTACGGAGAAGACTTGTTGACATCTTACATGGAAGAAGATTCGAAAGAGACAAACGATAAGTTCCTAAGGGACACGACGGTGAACCTCATGCTCGCAGGGAGGGACACGACGGGCGTGGCGCTGACGTGGCTTTTCTGGCTCCTAGCCAACAACCCGGAAGTAAAATCAAAGATTCTTGACGAATTGAGGGAGAATTCGAATGAAAAGACACATGACATATCGAAAATGGTCTACTTGCACGCAGCGTTATGTGAGTGTTTGAGGCTTTACCCCTCTGTCCCATTCGAACACAAAGGCGCCGTCAAAACGGAGGATCTACCGAGCGGAAAAGCCAAATCCCACGAGAAGATTTTGTTTTCGACGTATTCAATGGGGAGGATGGAGGGGGTTTGGGGAGAGGATTGCTCGGAGTTCAAGCCGGAGAGGTGGATATCGGAGAAGGGGAGGCTGAGGCACGAGCCGTCGTATAAGTTCTTATCGTTCAATTGCGGGCCGAGGACTTGTCTGGGGAAGGACATAGCCTTTACTCAGATGAAGATTGTGGCTGCGGCAATGATAAGCAAGTTTGATGTGGAGTTGGTGAAGGGGCATGTTGTTGAGCCTAAACACTCAATAATACTTCACATGAAGGATGGATTGCTGGTGAGGGTGAAGGAGAGGGGGGAGTTGATGGAGAATGGTAAGCTATAAGCAACGAGAATTGTAATTGTGCTGCATTATTTGATGTTACAATAATTGTGGGCTACTTGGTTGGTTCAGGTTCGGAATTTAGGTGTCATGATGTTGGTGAAATTAAAAATATATACGGTTTGTAATTTGGTGAAGTAATCACCTTTACTCTTCTTAAGCTTTATGATACTTTTATCAGTAGTCATATATACCTAATCAGCCACAAAGTCTCTCTGACCTTTCTGAGGGTAAGCCCGAAACTTATTAGAATATAAAAATATAATCATCAACTCTCATCAAAACTTTAACTTTAGAGTTTTGAGGGTGCGGATCAAACCTTTAATTTTAAACTCGTTGCGGAGTCAGACCCTCCTCAGAATCCCCTGTACTTCACCGCACCTCAACTTTCTCTATCAAATCCACTCCCTTCTTCCTGTGGAAATCCTTGTGATTTGGAGGGTTAATTTGATAATTACATATTAGTGGAGAGTATAAACGAGAAAAAAAAAACTGTTTTCTAAATCTCATCATGGAGGATTTGTCACGAGGCTTCTGCTTGTGACGATGTCACAAGTCACGTGCTCTCGTCATGCTTCCATGTGCGTTATAAGGAATCCAAAAACAATTCTGTTAAATAAATTCAAGGATAATTTGTTTACACGTATCATTTGGGCCTACATTGCATCCTTGTCGTTGATGAACTGCCAAGAGAGTTACTAAGGAGAGCTTGCTTTGCTTAGAATGTGCTTCGGATACCCAATCCACCTTGTTCTTTAGGACACTGGATTTTTTTCCCAACTCACAAAATGGGCTTTTCTTTGTTTTGGATCATGATTCCACCAAAAACTTCGATAGATGTGATCTAATTCATTACAAATCTTTCAAGGAAACTTGGTCGTTGCCATCTTGTAGATCGGGAGACTCGATAAAGTTTCGTAGTAAATATTCTTATAATTTAGGGCTAGTAAAGGGCGTAGCCTGATTCAAGAATATTGTGCGAGAGACGAGAGTTTCGTAGTCTTTGTCAATGCAAAAGATTACAATATTAGAAGAGGGTTTCACAGTCTTTGTCTGTTCAAAAGATTGCAAAGAGTGAGTTTTGGAGAGAATATGAGAGTTGATTATGTATATGAGGTTGAGAAATTGTGAGACGAGAGTTGAGTGGTTCCTCTTGTAGTTCTCCCTGATACATAATGAATTTGTCGTATTGTAACCCCGTGGATGTAGGTCGAAGTTGGTCGACTGAACCACGTAAATCTTGATGTTCGTTCTTCTTGATTGTAGTTGCTTTCTATCTTGTTGATTTTGGGTTGGCTTCCGAGTTGCACAGATCGTAGCAGGCAGGTAGACTAAGTTCCCCAACAGTTCCCCGTGCCCTCACATATTTTTGGAAGCACTTATATATTCTGATGTTTGTAAAATTGCACTTTAAAACTTTTTCTTCTGCAAGCCCGAGAAAGTTAAACATCTGAAAATTTCATTTATTTTTGAACTTTGATATCCCAAAGTTCTATTTTGCACATTTGATACCCTCAACTTCAGATAGAAATTCTTTACATTCTTGATTGTAAAGAGTATTTACAATTCATCAATCACATCTCCTCATTCCATAGACCCCGTGATTGACATTCTCTATTTAAATTATATAAAAAGTATAGTTATAACTGTACCGCAAAATTTAGACAAAATTTATACCCCCACAAGTAAAGAAATAGAATCCATATTTTCTTGACCATTTTCAATAAAATACCCCACATATTTTTTATTAGTGATAGTACAGGGGTCCTATGAAATTTACAATTATCATTTTCCATTGTAAAAAGTAAAATCCCCAAAGTTCCACCGTTTTCCTCAAAATTTCCGACCGCAACCTGTGAACCCAAAATCCTCTTCTCTTGAACCCTAAAAACCTCCAAATTTAGCCGAATCATTGAGAAATCTGGAGGGGCTCCCTTAACATCTCATCTTTTATTGCCGGAGGTTTAAATTTGTGAAGCTGGAAACCTTAGAAGTCGGAAAGGGAACCCTAAGATTAGATTGGGATTTCTTAGTCAAAGATGGTTATCTATAACTATCTTAACTTATTTCCTAAAGTAATGTTCAAAATGCAATATTTTTGGGGTTTGGAGTCATGGGACGGCAAAGTCCAAATTTCTGGAAGTTCGGGTATCAAATCATTAAAATTGATATCACATGATTGAAAATGTAAATTTAAAGCTCCTACGAGAAGTCCTTCTCAGGAGCTAAGGGCGTGTTTGGTGTAAAATGGAAATTGGATCAAAAATTAAAAAGTAATTTTACTTCTCATTTTCATCTTATTAGTTTTACTTGTTCACTTTTTGCTATTACTTTTTATAATAACCAAACAAAATAAGAAAAATGTATGTGTTACATTATAAAAAGTGAAGAGTGTCATATCAGCATTTTAGCCTATTTCACTCTCTTCAAAATTGAAGAAAGTGAATAGAAAAGAAAGAGAGAGGAGAGGGAAAATATATCTTCAAATTTTTTACATATCATTTTAGTTTTACTTATCTACTTCGTACTATTACTTTCTGTGATAACCAAACAAAATAAAAAAGAAATAACTGAAGATAGGCTAACTTTTGATTTGACTTGTAATTTGGTGTTTGGTGACGATCACGGGTGTTTATCGAGGGATTTCCGACGGTTCCCTTCGCTGGAGCGGCAGACGATGCGATGGAGGCCTGATTTTTTCGACATGCTGTGCCTCCGTACGTCTTGGTGGAAGCCAATTAATTAATGAGATGGCTAAGTGTAGGCGAGGAGAGGAAATTGCACGAAAATTGGGGCGTTATCGATGATTTCGCCGCTGAAGACATCACGAAAAGGAAAAGGAGAAAAATGTACGGAGAAGACGTCTTAACATCTTATGTAGAAGAGAAGAGGATTTGGAAGTGAGCAACAAGTTCCTTAGAGCAGCTCCAACCGGGCTGCATTTCTCCAAAATGCAGCCCGGTTGAAGTCCAACCGAGCTCCAAATTTTGGAGCTCGGCTGCAAACCCAACCCACCAGCTTCATATTTGGAGTTTTTTTCTCCAAATATGCAGCCCCCTCTATTTCACTATTCCCCCTAAAAAATGTCAATATTAACCCTCAATCTCCTTAACAACATTTCATTATTCCACTTGTGTCCCATTATTATTTTTTTACTTATTTAAAATATGTGTATATATATATTAATATATTAAATATTTTTAATGAAAATAATATTATTGGAAATGTCTCGTCGATACCTTCAAAATGAGACTAATATTGAAATATAAAATCTGTGTATATATATATATCAATATGCACCCAAAAAAATTCCTAATTTACCCTTCAAACTAACTAACTACTTTTAGATATCCACTTATGCCTATTTAATTATTAGTTTATAATTTTTATATATTTTTAAATTAAGTAAAAGAATTGTTAAATGGAGAGAAATTGAAATGGAGTTGGAAATGGAGGAGTGTGGTTGGAGTTGTAAAGCTCTATTTTGACATATTCCTTAGAATATGCTTTAGTGGGGACTCCAAAATGGAGCCAATGGTTGGAGTTGCTCTTAGGGACACGACGATGAATCTGTTAGTAAAATAATGAAAGAGAGAATTTCTGAAGCGTGAAACACTTTCCTTGAAGAAATATTTGCCCCGCTTTAAATTCAAAGTTGTTTCATGTTAATGCAAATTTTCTTCTCATGACACAACGGAAAATGAAAAATTCCAACAAGCAAATCCGGAATTTCCCACCAACTCTTTGTGAAACAAGTTTGTAGTATTACGGATCTTTTTTTGGAGAAAATTTTTGTGTAAGAAGTTAAGTGAAGATATCTGAAATCATAAACTATTTATAGGTTTGAAAAGGTGCTTCCAACAGTCATAACTTTTCAAAACTCCGCTTGAAAAAAAAACAGATTTCACTTGTCTATTCATATTTTGATAACTTCGAAAAATTAAAATAACAATAAAAAATAACGTACTCAAAATATATACACTAAAAAGTTAGAATATTTAAGCGTCATTATTCGCGCTGCCCGCACGCGGTTTTAAAAGCCTATACTTCGATCCATTAATTTATCAAAGTCCAATAATCATTAAATGCTTTTAAACATCTAAAAGAATGATCAAATATCCGATGTGGGTACTATCTTGTTTTTACAAACAAATACTAATGAATTGAGGGAGTATTCAGAAAAAGAAAAAAAAAGAAGTTTGATATAACAAAAATGGTCTACTTGCACACAACATATATTGTGTGAGCGCTTGAGGCTTTACCCTTCGCTTCCATTTGAGCACAAGGGTGCGATCAGAACAGAGGATCTACCGAAGGGAGGCTGAGGCACGAGCTACCACATAAGTTCCTATCGTTCAATTGCCGACCGAGGACTTTGTTTGGAGAAAGGAATAGCATTTATGAATCTAGTTATGGAATTCATGAGTTTTAAGGACTTTATTTGGTTATGTTGTTGCTAACCAAATTAGTTGCTGCAGCCCTGTTTTACGTCAACCAAACAACTCAATCAGTCACTTAAAAAATCACATGATGTTATGAACCTTGTTATGGATGTCCTTATAAACTCATGAATTTACTTCTCCTCATTTGACTTTTAGAGTTACTTCTAAAGTCTTATAACTCGTATATGTATATATAGTTGTAATGCATAAAGCAAAATGAAAAGTGAAAAAGCAAAGTTCTCTAGCTCTCTAAATTCTCTAATCTCAAGGAGTAAATCGTTAGTTCCACAAAGTATTTCACAACATGTTATCAACACGATAGTACCTTTGTAAGATTTATCACCTGGTTGAAGAAAAATATAGATATTCCCGAGTCTTCAATTAGATTCGAGATCAATCATGAAGATACGCGTCTCGCAAAGAGTGCAACAATGCACACCACACTTAAAGATAATAAATATTTTTCTCATTTGATAATGAGAGAGGCGGATGTTAATATATTATTCTCCAGTAAATCTCAAAGAAATTTATTAAGCTTTAAATATATTCACCGAAATGGATATCATATTGAGATAGTAAATGAGAATAATATCGAATATCTCTATATTACAACTAATATTTCGGGTAAGAATGTGTATTAGAAAAACTACCCTCATTTTCTTCTGCCTTGTACTACATAAATACTAATACAGTTGAAACATAAGTCATAGTGAACCAGAAGTTCACTTATCCAAATACTTTTATTATTTGG